AAGCTGTCATGAGGAGCAAATGAAATGTTTGCAAATCACTTAGCATAGTGCTTGGCACAAAGTAGGTGCTATATAAATGCTTACTTCCTTCTCAGCCACTCTTGACCTGGCTTTTTTTTTAATTTTTAAATTTTTATTTTATTTTATTTTTTTTGCTAGGCAATGGGGTTAAGTGACTAGCCCAGGGTCACACTGCTAGTAAGAGTCAAGTGTTTGAGGCCACACTTGAACTCAGGTCCTCCTCACTCCAGGGCCAGTGCTCTATCTACTGCACCACCTAGCTGCCCCTTGACCTGACTTCTCAAAGAATCTTAAGTCATCAAATTAAAAGCTAGAAGAGACCTTAGAAATTGCCTTTTTTAAAAAAAAAACCATTTTATCCCAATTTCATGTAAAAACAATTTTCAGTATTTTTTTTTTAAATTTTGAGTTCTAAATTCTCTCCCCATAGCTCTGAGATGGCAAGTAATTTGATTTAGGTTATACATGTGTAATCATGCAAAACATATTTCCACACTTAGATGGTATCTAGAAGCAGTATGGTGTGGTGAAAGAACTCTGGACTTGCAGTCAGAAAAGATCTGGGTTCCAATCCTACCTGAAACCTACTGGCTGACTAACCACCCAGCTGTGTGACCATGGGCAAGATATACTTCTCTGAGAACTTGGTTTCCTCAACTGCGAAATGGTGATCATGAAAAAATACACAGAGAAAGAGGAAGTGCCTCCTATGTGTCAGGCATGGTGCTAAGCTCTGGGGATGCAAAAAGAGACAAAAGACAGTCCCTGCCCTCAAAGAGCTTACAGTCTAATGGAAGAGACAACATGTAAACAAATATATACAAAGCCAGATATATACAGGATAAATAGGAAATAATTAACAAAGAGAAGACATTGCAATGGAGAGAGATTGGGGAAAACTTCCTGTAAGAGGTGGGATTTTGTTGTCTTTCATTTTCAAAGAGGACCAGTGACATCACAGGGTGATACCTTGATTCATCTGTAAATTGGATTTAAGTGAGGTAGAATTGCACAAAGCCCTCAGCCTCACTCTCTCTTTCAGAGTCCTGGAAGTCCAATGGCAAGACAAAAGTCAGGATCACTAGTGATAGCCAGGGATGCAGTGGATGACCTCGGATTCTTCAATGTATCACCAAATTCTAAGCATTCCACAGCGCCTGCTTCAGCTGCCTTTATGGCTGTTGGAACAAACTGCTCTCACCTGCCCATTCTGCTGGGGAAGTCTTCACATGCTCGGGGTACACAATCCCCTTAACTCACCAACAGGTTCGTGGCTTAGCCCATCTGTCGAGACAGTTTACTGCACATGCCACAGGTGAGTTAAGTGCCAGGGAGACACCAAAAATGGATGAGCAGTCCTGAAAAGGTCTCAGCCCTCACACTAGAGGTACTAGTCCTCCCTGAGCACTCATATACCTCAGTGAGATTTTAGTTGGTCACTAAAGGAAGCCAGGGAGGTCAGTAGTTAAGATGGAGGAGGGAGAGAATTCCAGGCATGAGGGACAAGGCAAAAGACAGTTTCTTCAAGAAACTTACAGTTTAATGAGGAAGATAACAAGCAAACAACTAGACACAGATATAAAACTCAACATACATGTCAACAATTATTGATCTGCCCAACCTACTCTTTTTGCACCAAATAACTGAAGTCCAAAGAGTGACTTGTCCGAGGTTATCCTGCTAGATAAAGGCAAAGCTGGGATAAGGAGCTACATTAGTGGCACCCTTTGAATGTTCTTTGCTAAAACTGCATTAGATAACGGATCTCTGGATAGGAATTTCTGATGACAACCACAAGACTTTAGAATCAAAATACTGTGCTAAAACAAAATCAACTGAAGCAAATACCCACAGGCAGAACTACCTCATCAAGTCATTATTACATCCACTTTAACAGAAGGTTTAGACGAGGTGTTTGTCGAAGCCCAATTGTTTATTGAATAATAAAGAGGAGCCAGGCACTGAACTAGATACTATAACTGTGTGCCTGTCTAAAGTCATACAGCCAGTGAACTGGGGAGTTGGAACTAAAAATTTCAAGCTTATTCTACCCCAGCTTCCGTTGACTGGGTGTGGTAACCTAACACAGGGTCATCATCATACTACCCAAAAGGATAGCTGGCATTTAGATAGCCACATCCTCACTGTATAAGATGGAAAAATTAAATTCAGCTTGTTTTTCAACATAAATCCATCTGCCCATAACACATCCTCTTTGGTTTAACTTAAATACTGGGGGGTTTCAGTTGTTGCACTTGGCCGGAAAGCTGGATTTCTGCACCAGACATGAAGGCTGCAATCTGATCTTTCAGCATCAGTGGCTGCTGCCGCCGTTCCCCCCCCCCCTTCACTTCTCTCCCATCTCACAGCGGGCAGCACGCCAAGGTGACAAGATTACACCCCAGGGAAAAGCAGAAGGCAATTCGTCTCAACAAGAGGAAGCCCAGATCTCAATGCCTATGGCTGCTTTTAATTCTGGAGGGCAGAAAGAGAGAGGAAGAATAGGACAAACATCTTGCTCAAAAGGCCGCTTTCAGCCTGCCTGCCCAGAGGCCTGCTGCTGCCAGGCCTCCTAGACAGTGAGGGGCAGCCCCAGGGTCACGCTGCAGCCTCCCTCCCAGTGGGGGGGAACCAGAGGAAGGCTCTAACTCAATTCCCTGGGCCATGCTGACAGACGGATATTATCTACTGACAATCATCATAAAACACAAACTTCAGACCCATTCCAACTTACATTTAACCCACAGGACAGCTAAAGAGTTGGAGAATTATAACTGTTCCCACCTACAGCCCTATCCATAATGTTCCACAGGCTCAAAGCAATTCTCTGTGCTGTCACCCTCTGTGATAATGGAAGCCAGTAGGGAAATAGAGAAGGGGACAGAAGGGAAGGTAAAACATATCTTCATTGAGCTCCAGAACAGATCTCAATTCTTATGCCTGACTTTTCATTATGGAGGAAAAGAATAATTGTACATCTGTCTTATTCACAAACTAAGCTGGAGTTTCGGCTCCTGAATAGACCTAACACAAGCAAAGTTAATTCCTCATTTCTGTTACCCACATTCTTGTATCAAAGAAAACAAAGATAATACATCTTATTTGTTCAATTTTATTTCCCAAATAAGGGCTAAGCAATCCAAGAATTTTTATTAATCTATGAGGATCACAAGATTTCAAACCCAAAGGGTCCTTAGAACTCATCTGACAACCCTTCACCTTACAGATGATGAAGTCCCCAAGAGGGGAAAACCCAGCCAAGATCTCTTCAGAGACATTAAGCAGCAACCAACCCTCGAACCCAAGTTTTCTGCCTAAAAATCCAGTGCTCCCTTCCACCACACCACGGCAGAAGGAGCCACCTTCTTCTCTAAACACAGATGCTACCAAGTACAGAAGCTAGATTTATCATACCCCTAAAACAATAAAAACAGCAGCGACCAATCTGCCCTAGTCCTTCACACAGCAAGCTAAGCATCCATTATTTCTTGCTAGCATCATTAAACTGTCCTAAAAACTTAATTAGAAGCCATGACAGCAAATCATTAACTTAATACTTTGATAGCAAGCCATGCCATCAATCCAGGGTGTCCTGAAACCCTATCGTTCCCTGTCTCCCCACAGCCAAAATGTTCCACCTCCCTGCGTCACTGGGACTACAGACACCGGACCGAATGACGTCAAGCTTGATCTTTTTGTGGTGGCTAAGAACTGGAAATCAAAGGGAAACCGAGCAGTTGGGGAATGGCTAAACAAGCCATGGTATATGATTGTAATGCAATATTATTGTGCAATAAGAAATGACAAGCAGGATGATTTCAGAACAATCTGGAAAGACTTACATGAACTGATGCATGGTGAAGTGAACGGAACCAGGAGAGCATTGTACACAGGAACAGCAACATTGTCTGATGAAGAACTGTGAATGACTTGGCTATTCTCAGCATGACAATGACCCAAGACAGTCCCAAAGGACTCATGATGAAGCGTGCTATCCACCTCCCGAGAAAGAACTGATATTGCTTGAATACAGACTGAAACATGCTATTTTTACTTTCTTTCTTTTGTTTGAGTGTTCTCACATGAAATAATTGATATGGAAATGTTTTACATAATTGCACATGTATAACCTATATCTGACTGCTTGCTGTCTCAAGGAGGGGGTGTGGAGGGAGGGAGGGATAGAATTTGGAACTCAAAACTTTAAATAAAAATGTTAAAAAATTTAAAAAAAGAGAAGACTTCCAGCCTGAGAGTGAAGGGCTTCCTGGCCTCTTTTAAGACTTTGGAGGCTTAGTCTCCTAGAAATACAAAATGATTAAATCCAGGTTATAAACTTCAGGTGTTACTATACAGCACTTTCCAAATCTTAAACCACCATATAAATGTCAGCACTAGGCAAATGGCAGCTGGGGAGTGCAGTGGATAGAGCACTGGGGCCTGAAGTCAAGAAGACTTGAGTTCAAATGCAGCCTCAGACTCTCAGTAGCTGTGCGAGTGACCTCGGCATGTCACTTAGCCGCTGTATGCCTCAGTTTCCTCACCTGTAAAATGAGTACCTACCTCTCTGAGTTGCTGCAAGGATCAAATGAAATAATAACTGCTAATTAAGCACTTAGTTCAGTGCCCAGCACATAGTAAGTGCCACATAAATGTTGGCTCTGATTGTTATCATCTGCTAAAGCAGGATGCATGACTTTTAGTCATCAAAAACCAGACAGGGGCAAGAATCATGGAATCCTATTCCTGAAAAGGTCTCACTTCGTCTTGGGATCATAGTTTTAGAGCCAGAAAGGACCTCAATGGTCACCCAGACTAATGCCTTCACTGTATCAATCCACAGTGACTAACACCCAGAAAGGTCACAAAGAGCCAGGACTAAAACCCGGATCTCCTGACTTCTGATCTGTAAATTGTCCACCGCCTCGGTACCACCAGGAAATCAAGAGAAGCCTTGGCAATGCCCCGCAGAGACTCACCAGGGTGACAATGGCACACTCAGCAGTCAGCTGGGCAGCACTGAACAGCGTCCGAACAAACCGGTAAATCTGCTTTTGTTCTGGGTTGTGTTTGTCGTAGTCTGGTGGCACTTCGGATTTCTGCAGAAGGAAATCATTTTCAGATGACTCACCTCCGAACCGGAAGGGCAGAAAAATAATGAAGCTCTATCTCATAAAACAAGGCAGGGAAGAGGGAAAGAGATTACCGAAAGGGGGTGAAGATTTTCATCAAAAATATCTAAGAGCATCCTTCCATCTGTGTCCCTGAGGAAGAAAAAAAAGAATGTAGAATTTACCATCTATAAGAACATGTGCCATTCACAAAATTAGCAAAAATACATTTTAATTTGGATGTATTTCAGAAAGGCATTGATGAAGTGTGTGACTTGAAGGAATGCCATCAGTGACCATTCAATAATCCCTTTATGTCCATGCTACAGTGAAATCATTTTTATTTTAGAAGTCCATGCAGTAGCAATGATTCATACTTCATAAATTGTACTATGGAGAAAATCTGGGCCTTTTGTTCCCTATACATATTTTTATAAATATGTGTAGGATGTTATTGGGGGTGTGTGTGTGTATACATATGCATACATGTATGTGTGTTTATGTATACATATATACTAATGAAGTTTTCTGCTTTTATATATGTATATATATGAATATATGAGTATAATTACATTTATACGTATGTATTTGCCCATGTATATACATGTGTGAATATATGCATATGCATGCACACATGTGTGTATGCATATAGGGATATGTACACAATATACATATATCGTACTCGGTGTGTGTATATGTATGCATTTGAATACACCATAAGGAAAGAAACTCTTCCTGCAATATCTCCACTCTTTGATCTCCAGCTGTTCCTGAAAAGACACTGACTGGGGCATCAGTTAAAACCACTGCTAAGCTGTCACTGGTGGGAAAGAAATCTTAGGCTATGAACAGGAAACGCCCCCAGGGATCCATTTGTGATTTCCACATTCAATTTAGCTAGTGAAATAATTCCAACTTTAACCTTGGTCTCTTTGTATACTGAACAAGATTACATGCATGCTATTATGCTTAACTGATAAAATAGTGCCTGGATAACTTTCAAGATATTAAGCTTCTAACCAGATTAAAAAATACATATAGGAATACACCTCCCTGCCACCCCCGCCCCCATTCCCACTCTCAAATACTTCCCTACTGTTGTATTTTGGGGTGGTTTTATTTTGCAATAAAGTTGCTAGCTTCACCTTAATATTATAAAACCCCTCTCACTTTTCTGCCAATCCTATTGCCTATATGCAACTTTTATGATATTGTCCCCACTGGACTAACTGTCCCCAGGAATAATATTTTACCTATCATGTTTTCACTAATTAATTAATCTTGTTAGGTGGGATATATTTGTAGAATTCTTTAAGTTAGCACAATGGGATTTCTGTTATCTGTTCTTCCAAAACATTTTGCTAAAGAAAACCAGAGAAGGTATTCATGAGACTAAAAATTCTTTGATGGCAAGCATCATTTTGTTTCTGGCTTATATCTCTTCATTCGGATTCCTTGCGCACAATTCCTTGCATATAAGAGAACCTTGGTAGCTAGGTGGCACAGTAGATAGAGCCCTGGGCCTGGAATCAGGAAGACTCCTCTTCTGAGTTCAAATGCAGCCTCAGACACTTACTAGCTGTGTGACCCTGGGCAAGTCACTTCACCCTGTTTGCCTCAGTTCCCTCATCTGTAAAATGAGCTGCTTGAGAAGGAAATGGCAAAGCCATCCAGCATATCTCTGCCAAGAAAACCCCAAAAGGGGTCACAAAGAGTTGAACATAACAAGAAGCTTAAAAATTCTGGGATGACAATCATAGATCCAGACTGGAAGAGAGGTCGTCAGAGGTAATCTAATCTGATCTTCTCATTTTACAGATGAGGAAACTGCATCCCAAAGCTGTTAGGTAACTTTCGCAAGGTTACACAGGTAAGGAACATTAGAGATGAGATCTGAACCCTGGTCCTCTGATGTGAGAGACAGTGTTCTTTCCAATGTGCTACATACAATTTGTATATATTTGTAGGCAAACAGAAAATTCCCTCTCCTTAAAATGTCTGATTAAAGAATAAAAGAGGAAAGAGGACAGCAGAACGCCTTCAGATGCACTACCCTATATTTACAAAACTGGAATTCCTAAGGAACTCAATTTGCTCAAATGAGATATGAGTAAAGTATTTTGCAAACCTTAAAGCGCTATATGAATGCTATTATTCTTATTAAACATTTCTTAAATGCCTACCATGTCCACAGAACTGTGGTTGACTAGGAATAACAAGATCTAGAGTCCTGCCCCTCCAGAGTTTACAATCCAGCAGAGAATCACACAAGTGACTTTTGGTCCAGGCACAGACTGGATTATTTTTCAAGGAGGGTCAACTATTGCCTGCTTTGCCTTTGCTACTGTAAATACAAGCAACCACAAGCCTGATTTTCAAAAGTTTCAGCTAAACATCAGTGCCACTGAGGCAGAACAAACCTAAAATCTTAAAGAGCCCCCTTTCTCTGTAGCACCAACAACAGTGTTGCTCATACCACCATTACACACTTTGGTGCTATACACTAACGTTACACACAACATTAACACACTAACAATGCCCCTCAATTTATTTTCTGAGTGTTATCTGAGTGACATAGTCTAACGACTCAGCACTGAATTTTCTTGGGCAGTTCAACAGTGTCTCTCTCTCTCTTTTTTTTCCTTTTCAAAACTTAAAAACCATTGAATAGCCATCCAGGAAGTCCAGAAAAAAGTACAAAATGACATGAGGGTCGTAGCACTGAAGATGGAGGAAGAAACTCCCTAAAAGAATCTGGATGGGGCTTGAGAAACTAGAGCTGCAATGCCTCTTGGGGAGGAGGTGGGGGACAGGCGGGGAATGAATCTTTTCTGAAGCTCATTTACACTGAACTTATCTTGCTTCCTTTCACCTCCTTTCATGGATGTATATTCCACTTAAATAGCATTCTCTCTATCAAGCAAATAGACCTGTCACAGGTTCCAAGTTTTCAGCCAGTATAATTTATCAAGCAGAAAATGGGTCAGGAAGAGATGCTACCTCTTCCCCAAGAGACCTACAGGTTATAATGCTCAGATTTATCACACATGTTAACATCATCTTCCCTTTCTTCTCATTGGTATCTGTCCCAGATGTTCACCATTGCACCCAGCTCATCAATAACTGATTAGCACACTGCCTGGCACATAGAAAGTGCTTAATAAATGTTTACTGCCTTGCCTAACCACTGCTGAACTTTAATGTGGCATGTTACTATGAAGTTAGCAGAAAATGCTTGGAAACATTGCAGCAAAGTTGTTTTGGTATCTGAATGCTGCACCAATAAGGCTGCACTGTCCTTTGGTATTTAAATGGTTAGTCTGGGCAAGATTGGCAAATTTGGGTAAGAATCACAAAAACAAGAAACCAGACAAGGCTTTGGTTTTTGTTATGTTTTATTCTGTTTCATGAGACAATATTAAGATGTCCTGTTCTGTAGTTTTTTTAAAAAAATGCATTTTCCAGTTTCATGTGAACCTATGCATCATGCTTCATGATGGTAAAACAGAAACACTTCAATGTATGTAACATTCTCTCATAATCAACTTCCAAATTTGGGGTATCCCCCAGAGTGAGATGTTTTTAACTGTGTAAAACTGTACTTAAAATTGCTTCAAACTGTGCTTTCCTGTTAGTGCAAAATGCCTTTTGCAATTTCTTTATGAAGTTCCATAGTCTGAGAATTTTTAATTCTATATAATGGGAATAATCAGAGGTATCCACTCTAATCTATAAGAAATGATTATCCAGCAGACATTTGGGGGCAACTGGCAGGCTTCCTGTTAGCGTCTCATCTTTTTCTTATTACATGTGTGGACTCCACCCAGTTCAAGAGGAGCTGTGTGTTATGGAAGGACTTGCATGTGTGCTCAGAGGGTATAAGGAATTATAGCAAATTCAGAAGTCCTATGGAAATGTGATTTCAAGGTACAAGTCCTATAGTTTAAGTAAGGAAAAAAGATAAAGATGATTTTTTTTAACATCTTGGGAAAGAAATTTTTATCCACATACCTGTTTTTGATGTGATAATATATTGCAAGTGCTACACTGTAAAGCAAAACACAAGAGTTAATGTTTTATTTTTTTAAAAATCAGGAACTTACCATAGAAAGAAACACCATCTGATCACAAATGTCTACATTTGCATATCATTCCCTCATTTAGAAATCAAATCTAGAATATGTAGTTGGAAAAAATATAACTACCTCTCTCTCCCTTGACCGGTGCTGCAATTTACATTATCTTTTTTCTGCAAAACTAGAACTGGTCCCTCAATGTTTATAAAGAAATCACTGCATGTGCCAGATTTTGTCAGACTTTAACACGGTGTGGTGGAAAGTGCACAGGGTGTGGAGTTAGGGGGCTTGAGTATCAACACCAGCTCTGCTACTTACTATGAGACTGTAGTCAAATCACACCACCTCTTTCAACCTCAGTTTCCTCATCAGTAAAATGAAGAGGCTGGATAAGATGGTCCTTAAGCCCCCTCTCCTCCTGCATCTATCAATACTAGGATCTTATTAATACATAGGCACATTGTATACTTCAAAGCTGCATTAAGTGCCATAGCAGAACACCTAGAAGGGTTTTTTAATCTATTACCTACTACCCTGAAACTTTGTAATTATGTTACAACAGCTGAGAAAATGTAAATTAAAGTTGCCCAAAGCAGTTTGCTAGTCATTTTTTTCTTTTAAAACAGTTACCTTCTCTTAGCAAACTCTTCAAGCATCTTCATTTAGTTTCTGAAATCCTACTAAATATATGAAGTATCTTAGTGGAAAAATCTCCAAATGGTTGGTGTGAGGCAAGAAAATGCCTTTTTTTCCCCTCCTTTTTGGATCTGAGAATACTCTACACCAGGGGTGGGGAACCTGCAGCCTCGAGGCCACGTGGGGCCCTCTAGGTTCTCAAGAGCAGCCCTTTGAATCCAAACTTGGATTCAGTCAAAGGGCTGCACTTGAGGACCTAGGGGGCCCCACGTGGCCTCGAGGCCAGCAGGATCCTCACCCCTGCTTTACACAGATTTCCTAGTCTGTTTTGTTTTGGTTTGAGCTTGAGAGAAACAGCACATTGGGTTTGTGCCCAATGGTCCATCCAAACAAGTATTCTAGCTTTGTCAGTAATATCAGGAAACGTTCTATGAGTCATCATGGTAGTTGCCCTTCAGTACATCAGCTTTACAGTGTGGAAAAATCCCTGAACTTCCTAATTTGCTCTTAATCAGTATGCTGAGAATTCGAAATACCTCCAGTTTTTAGCTAATTTTCCTTACAAGTAAGAAATAAAACTCCATTCCTGAGAATCATTTTTTCCAGTCCTAACAGTTAATGCTCAAAGAAAGGGGAGTTTTAAAGCACCTCAGAACAATAAGAAAATCGATATCCACCTACTTTTGGAATCTTTAAAAGCATTTTTGAAAAAAGGGATTTACAAGCTCAGAATTACAGAAATGGTACTAAGGTCTTAGATCAACATAATTCCAATGTGACTTTAGGGTTCTAAGATCAGGAGTCATGCAGTACAATAAGGAAAGAAGAGAACCAAAAAGATGAAGCTAATTTCCTTACCCTTTTTTTTTTGGCTAGGCAATGGGGTTAAGTAACTTGCCCAGGGTCACACAGATAGTAATTGTCAAGTGTTTGAGGCCAGATTTGAACTCAGGTCCTCCTGACTCACTGGCCGGTGCTCTATCCACTGTACCATCTAACTGCTCCCTCATTACCATTTTAGAGTAGAAAGTCCTGGAAGTGGGCCAAATTTTCTAACAGATTGTTTGGTTTTAGAATTCTCCATTTCCCTATCCCTCTACCACCTCCTGGGGCTTTTCTCCAGAGATCCTTGTTACCCACATGCAATTTCAACTGCAGCACCCTCTCAGACCAGCCTTTCTCCCAAAGAACTCCACTCTATCAAATTACCTATTCCTCCACTTTCTAATCAAAACTCTTCTTCCTTCAGAGCAACTGATCTCAGGCATTGGGAGAAAATTAACCTAACTGAACTAGTTAGTTCACACTAATGTGTCAATGATTGATAGCCCACTTAAACCTCTACGAGTAAAATTTCAAGCAGTATAACAAAGGGAAATGGAAGGAAAAAAAAAAACTGCCAGTAATGTATGGAACAGCATTTAGGTCAGGACATAGGCAGGGTGCCTGGGGCCTACCATTAAGGTCAGTTCCTCTAAGGTATTCTTTTCAGTCTATTCCCTTCTACTTCTGAAACTGCTCATTCCCTGAAAGCACTAATGGCTTTTGCACTCTGTAAGTATATGTGACTTTGGAGATGGGGATGAGCACGAAATCTGTGGGGAGGATCCCTTGTAAATCGGGGGTGGTTTAGACATTAACAGTACGGAGAAAGTATGAGCTGTCCAAAGCTGGGACCCTTTGTGTGTGTGTGTGTGTAACTTTCATGCGATTTTTAGACAATAACCCCAACACAAAGGAATTCACTGGTGGCCACTGTAGAGATAGGGGTGTGTCTGCCTTACTCTAAATCTCTTCCTGCTTCCAAGATTAAAGAAAATCAGGAGCTTCTGCATTTTGTGCTTTTCTCAAGCATCAGCCAGTGAGATGAGAGGACACAGTTCTTGCCAGCTTCTCATTTTCCTTCAATAAACAGTAACAACTTAGTCTAAAGGAACATTTTCAACAGCTATGTCCATGCAGTAGATTGTGAACCAAGGGTCTTATTAGACAAGGCCACAAATAAAGAGCAGCCAAGCTATCACAAATACCTCTCTTTCCACCATGAATCATGAGACATAGGTTTATAATCAACACAACTTACTGAGCCCATAAACACTAATGGAATGAGAGAATAGACCATATTTCCATTAGTCACTTGACAAAGATAATATATATTGGGGGGGGGGATTCTATTTAAACAGTAGGCTGTATCTAAGCAGTAAAGTCTTCTCCATCCCACTCAATATAGTGCCGTGCACAAAGCCGGTACTCAAGGCAGGCTTATTGGTTTATTAGGCTGCGATATCATAGCTGTCAGTGACAGCATCAAGAATGGCATCATACAAACTAGAGAACCTGGCTCAATGAAAGCCTACATTTTTTTGAGAATCTGAATGACTAAAAAAAAAAATTAACAGCTTTAACATATACATATATATATATATATATATATACATATATACATACATGTATTATGTATACATGTGTATCTGCATGCATCTATGTGTGTATACGTGTATCTATATCCATACACAAACACACACCTTCCTAGAAGAGGACATAGGTGTCTTAGGGCCCTTCTTGGGGCTTAGCTGTTGTCCTCAGATTTCAAGGGATGCCATCTCTGTGTGGTCTCTTATTTGTCAGTTGGGGATGATGATAACTCCTACCAGCTACTTCCTCGAGCTGAAGTAAAGGAAACATTTTGTAAGCTCTGAAGTGTTATTCCAGGTTCATCATTATGATGACTTCAACGTTGGCTGTGTCAGAATGCTCTAGGCAGAACGTACTTTATAGAACCAACTCCCTTATTTAATAGATGAGGAAATTGAGTCTTGCTGAGGTGATGTGGCTTGCTTACAGTCCTGCCAGGGGTCAGAGCTTAAATGAGAAGCCAGGGCGGCTGATGGCCACTTCTGGGCACTCACCACTACACCACGCTTGTCTTCTCACTATCTTCTTTTGCTTTTAATATTCAACATCCTGAAACAGTCTTACATTTTTGAAGAAAAGGTGCTAGAGGAGTGTTGTGCTAGACTGGCCTTAAAAAGAAATGGTGAGGAGGAAAGGGCATGTTGTATGAGGATATGAGAGAGCCAATACTTTAAATTTCTAACAAAATAAGGAACATTTGAAAAAAAATTCCTTTAATTTTTTTTAAATTGTGTGCAATCATTTTCCATTTTATTTCAATATTTTGTTGATGGTTGATAGGTTTAAAATAAAAAGAAATGAAAAGAGAAAAGGATAGAAAGAGAAAAGGAAGGAGGGAAAAGGAAGGAGAGAAGGAAAGAAACATGTAACCATCAATAAGTGTTGGCTACTTCACCCCCATGACCCTAGCTACTCATGATCTCCCACGAGCCATCTGGGCTGCCTAGAAGTTGGGTTGCTACTGCTCTTATCATCCCTGAAAGGAAGAGCACTGGAAATTGGGTGGGACCACTGCAGTGACAAGAGGCAAAGAACACCTGCTTCCCCCTTGTTCCTTCTTTTAAAAGGTGATCTACACCCCATACGTCCTTAAGTCCCATACATTTCATAAGCATAACCACTTCTTCAACTTTCTTGATACAGTGATGCTGCAACCACACAAACATGCACACACATGCACACGCATGCACACACACACACACACACATTTTTCTTTAAGCCATCATTAAGGCATGCTAGCAGAGGAAGTGAAGGCATGGATCTGAATACCCACCATTTAATTGTATACTTGAGGTTTGGTTGACTGACTGTGCTATCATCTAGGAAAATAGTGGAACAGGAGCTGTATTTCCTTCCCATCTGTCCTGGAGGATGCTAGGAAACAACAAGGCAACAAAATGATGACAATTATATACTTGCTGAATGCTCTTCTCAGAGACCCCCACCCACCCACCTTCACTGGCGATGATCACCCACAAAAAATAGCAATCTCAGTGAAAGTTTCTTAAATCCCAATGAGAACAGGATTAAAAGGTTTTATCTACCAAAGTACAAAAGCATTTTCTTCTGACTGGGTTTAAAAAAAATAAAGTACAAACTCTGCATTAAAAAAGAAAGAGCAGAAAAACCATGCTATTGAGTAACATGAATCCAGTGGTATGGGTGAGGAAAATTAAGTCCCCTGTAAACACAATAATAGTGAAAATAGCTAGCATTTATACAGTGCTTAAGGTTTGCAAGGAGCTTTTAACATATCCCCTTTGGTCCTCATAACAACCCTGTGAGGCACATACTTATTGATAACCTCAATTTACGTATGAGGAAACTGAGGCAACCAAGAAATTAAGTGCCTTGTCCAGGGTCATACAGTTAATAAGTGCCCGAGGCAAGATTCAAAAGTACATGCTAGGGTTCTCTGTCACTGAAGGGCTATAATTCAGAGTTCCTCAGGCAACTCCCTAGGAGTTATCTACTGAGTCATAGGTCAGAGCTGAGTTACCATCTTCTCCAGTGGAAGGAGTTCCCATACTGTGAGTTTCCCACAGCCAACAATAGGAAGGATCCTTGTCTACCTTGCCACTAGTATGACAAGATTCCACAGAATCAACTTTCTCTCTCTAATTCTTATGGGTGTAATTGAAACTTAGAGGCCATTAACACATTAGGCTTTATAAGATATACTTAATATAAGATGCATGTTACATTAACATTTGTCCCCTTGACCTATCTGCTTTTCAGAACTATGTGAGAGATGAAAAAGTAAAGTTATTGATTTAAGTGATGGAAAAATCTGTTTTAAAAATGTGTTATAAGCTGATACATCAGAAAGCAGAAGAAATGAATAACTGCTTAGGTCTTGCATAAATTCAGTTGGTCCAAATATATTCTGCCACCCATTGTAAGCCAAACTCCTAAGTGAATCTCTTTTTAAGGAATGAAAGGACCTGGGCTTAAATACTAATGATGTTACCACTTGTGTGACTGTAGAGAAATCAATGTGATCTCTGTAGGCCTTAGGTTCCATAACTAAGGAGGGGGTCAGACTAAAGGATCGAAATCCCCTTATAGTTCTAAGCCCTATAAAAACATATGAGTCCAAGCAGTTAGAGAAAATGTCCATAATTGGCAGAAGCCAAGAAATGGGGAGGGGAGAGCAGGTGGATGTGGGTGGGGATAGTCAGGCAGGTTTGGGGAACAGCTGGCTGACACCAAAGCATAAGCCTCCACAGTATTTAGAAAACAATCTTGGTAGCTATAGTTTGTATTTAAGAGGACCTAGGTCCATTATTTTCATACTTATTTTATCTAAGGAAATACAGGTAAAGATAAGAATCCTCAAAGCAGAGAGCAGAGTCAAAAGCCAAGAGATGTCATAAGGATAACATCAAATTAGCAGGAACCAGGTCAACCAGGATGAAAGAGGAATTTACTCTCCAAAGATTAGACTAGCTATGTGTAAAATTATGTCAAGTCTTGATACCACCAAGAACATATGGGACACCTACTGACTTGGGACAGAAAGCTCACTGAGTCTAATCCCAACTGTCCAGGGGAGCTGCCTTTACCCCATGGATAACAGGGACCACCCCCGCCTGACAAGCTAGCCCCTATCCAATCCCAAGGGATGGTGGGGACAGCTGAAGATTCCAAGGTCAGGGGGGATCACCTTCACAGACAACAAACATGTAGGCACCCAGGCAGTGAAAAGAGAGGCAACTATCGTGACTGGAAGAGAAGCCATGGAGAAGATTGCACTAGTCAAAGGATGCACAGCCTCTAGAAATGAAACTTGTGTGGGAGAATTGAGCAGTAGGTATACTGGGGATGGATGGTGTATCACCAAGATGGCTGCCCCACTGGTCTGAAGACCCAGTGATTTCTGCAATTTTTCTTCTTCCCTTTCCCCCTCTGCCTCTCACACAGAAGTATGTACCTGTGTGTACCCATCCCTTTGACTCTCCATTTCTTATGAATCTGTCAGTCTTTTCTTTTGCTCTTTTTTAAGTATGACAAATCTGATCATGACCAATGAATTGCTAAACTGTGTTCGTCCTTGCTCAAACAAAGTACAGAGCGCCTTGAAGGAAAGAAAGATTTACAGTTGCATTATTGTGATGGAGCATATTCTCTCTCGCTGGGGTCTTCAAGTATAGAAACGTAATTACTGATTAACTGTAACAACTCAGAACGAATTGAAAAATTCAAACCCAGCTCTTTCTAGGCAAATGAGTCAACAGTCTAGCTGGCATTGGGAGGTGGGACTGTACCACTAACCACCTTTTTCAAAGGAAAACCTGTTCTCTAGGAGTATGGAGAAGAGGGAGTCACTAATGAGTCTGAGAGGCTGGGGGCAAGTAAGAGGTCATGACTAACCTTCTAACTCAACATAGAACCACCCCACCCCATTTCTGCAACATATTATAATTCCAATAAATAACAGATGGTTGAATGACATTTGGTGATAGAGAAGGGAGGAGTCCTGTGAGTGTGTCACAGAGATGAAAGGAAGAAAAAAAATATCCCTTGGGACATATGAAGTCCTGTATTTGTAGAAGAAGCAATAATTTCAGCTTTGTTTTATATTACAAACTTGTTCCCCAGAGCATTGTGACAATAAACTACTCCTCTAAGTCCACATTTCCTATATATTATTCCCAACCCTAAAGCTATTATGAAAGGAAGGCTAAGAAACTTTTTTTTTTAAATTTATCTCTTTCCATACAAATAATCATTACACTCATTTACATCACTGCTGCTCTCTTGGTCTTTACCGATGTTGTTGTAATTTTTTTACTGGGAGAATAATTATAGACTGTACCCTAATTTTAACCAATATACATTCTGAGGGACCAATATGGCACTTCACATTTTAAGAAGTATTGAGCTCACTGGTGAAATTTAAAACTGAGGAAGTTACATAGACAATGACTGGTAAGGAAAAAATAATGTAAGTTACAAATAAGTGACATTTAATCTAAAACTAAGTGGATTTTTGACATTCTGCCTGGGTATTGTGATCAGTAGACACTAGCTGTATAATTGAGATTCTAAAGTGGATTTTTAATTTAAAAAAATTAGATTCTCTGGACAGCAGTCAAATTTCCATTTAGTTTTGTGTGTTTATGTTGACAGCTAAAGTATGTTCTCTAGCAAATAATGAAATTATCCCAAAGGGAGCTTGAAATTAGTCCCTGGCCTCTTCATATCCCAAACAACTATAGACAATCAATCTTGTTTAGCAGATTTTAAAGGGACTTTTAAGGTCTACATGTAATTAGTTGTCTCATTCTTTACTCTAAAACTAATATTATATAGAGAATTAAGACAAATTTATAAGAACACAAGCCATTCCCCAATTGATAAATGGTCAAAGGATATGAACAGACAGTTCTCAGATGAAGAAATTAAAGCCATCTATATAGTCAAATGAAAAAATGCTCTAAATCATTATTGATTAGAGAAATGCAAATCAAAACAACTCTGAGGTACCACATCACACCTATCAGATTGGCCAACATGACAAAACAGGAAAATAATAAATGTTGAAGAAGATGTGGGAAAATTGGAACACTAATACATTGTTAGTGGAGTTGTGAAATGATACAACCATTTTGGAGAACAATTTGGAACTATGCCCAAAGGGCTACAAAAATGTGCATACCCTTTGACCCAGCAATAGTACTTCTAGGGCTATATACCAAAGAGATCAAACAAATGGGAAAAGGACTCACACGTACAAAAATATTCATAGCAGCTCTTTTTGTGGTGGCAAAGAATTGGAAATTGAGAGGATGCCCATCAATTGGGGAATGGCTGAGCAAGTTGTGGTATATGAATGCAATGGAATACTATTGTGCTATAAGAAATGATGAACAGGCTGACTTCAGAAAAACCTGGAAAGACTTATATGGTCTGATGCTGAGTGAAGTGAGCAGAACCAAGAAGACTTTGTACACAATAACAGCCATGTTATGCAATGACTAATATTGTTAAACTGAACCCTTCTCAGCATTACAAGGATCTAAGACATCTCCAGAGGCCTCGGGATGGAAAATGCTGTCCACATCCAATGAAAGAACTATGGAAGTAGAATCGCTATCACTTATTTTTACCTTCTGTTGAGTTTTGTTTCATCTTTCTGATGGTTCCTCCTATTGGTTTTAATTTTTACTTACAACTTCACTAATGTGAAAATGTGTTTAATGGGAATGTAAATGTAAAGCCTATATCAGATTGTGTGCCGTCTTGGGGAGGGGGGGGGAAGAAGGGGGAGAAAAATTTTCAACTCAAAAGCATATGGAAGTGATTGTTGATAAATCAAAATAAATTAATAAAATTTTTTAAAAATAAAAAAACTAATATATTAAAATAAGGTGGCTAGCATTAAAAAAAATATGAAACTTACAAACATTTAAGGCCTTTGACAAGTGAAGAACAAGCAAATTCTTCTTTTAAAATTTATCCCCCATAAATTAGGATGATTGAGGGAACTATGAGTCCCCAAAACAATCATTTTATATGTTGTTATTAAGGAGGCTACATTGCTATATTACCAAAACATTACTAAGTCTTGAACACTGGTTGTCATAATAATAATAATAAAATGCCTTAAAGCTCACAAAGTACTTTGCATCCATGATCTAATTTGAGCTTCACAATGGCCTTGTGAAGTAGGTATTATTATCCTCCTGTTACCAAAAGAAACAGAAACCAAGAGGTTAAGTACCCTCTTAATTATTAACTATAAGGCATATGACGTTTAATGCGACTTGTCACATGAAAGAGCATTTAGTGTTTTTAGTAATTTATTCAACATCAAGATCATGTGCTTCATAACATCATAACCTCCATATATCTGAAATCCAAGCAACACC